ACGCTCGAAACGTCATCTTTGAAACAATTTACCGTGGCCAATTTACATTATTAACTCAGTTGACGAAGCCAAATATTATCTTGTGGTGTAAATAGATGGAAAGATAGAACGTTCTTGGTGGGAACATGGTAACGTGAAAAACAAAGGAAGGAATTAGTTGAATGGAAATGATTTTATTTTTTATTTTTTATACCGTGAGGATTAAGAGTTCCGATGTGAAATATGGATTTTTATTCTAGAGTTTTGCGGCTTTCCAAACTGCCTAGATGTAAGGAGAGACCGAAGACTGCTATATGTTGCTCAACATGACTTGGGAGGTGGAAGTGTCTAGGGACTAATTTGGATGCGTCTGTCATTCCTTTTTGTTCTTGACGAAGGTGTTTGTGGAATCGGTCGACGAGTCGTCTTCCCGTTTCGCTGAAGTATAAATTTTTGCAATTTGTACAAGGTATGCAAAAGTTGACATTGGCGGAGGTACAGGAGAAATGATTGGTGATCTCAATGATTGCTTGGATGCCGATATTACCTCGGCAACGTTATGAATGAAAAGACAACGTTTTGCATCGTGCGCGCGTGCATTAAAAATTACCGTGTAAAATAACGTGCCCATTGTGTCTGGAAGTTAAAGGAAAACTGAAAAATAAATTATTAGAAAAATGTTGCAGTTTCCCAACCAAAACTAGTAAAACTATATTTTGATAATAAAACGAGATGATGGTCCCTACGGGACTGAAAAGGATGTTACTGATGGGTGAGTCTGTTCCTCCTTCCGTCAGACTTTCTTAATTCAAAGGCAAACACTTTATTAAAAAAATGAAGATCCGAGCAGCCATGATGAGCTATGAAAAGGGGCAGAAAAGCATACATACTAAGAAAGATCCACCACCAAATCAATATGGTAAATAATTCTTAAATTTCTATCTGTTAATGTAATGGAAAGGTTACAGGAATTATGGGAAACTTACCAAAATGGCCCATTCGTTTTCAAAATAACCATTGCTGGCAATCATTTCTAGTTAAAGTATAAAGAACTCCAAGATCTTCTCACCCGATGCTAGATTATTTCAAAACTCTCTGTACTCTGCGGGTACAGTACATGGCTCAAAGTCCGAGTAGAGCTTCTCTTTGTGATGCTGATAACCTTTACAAAAAATACGATCCTTTCAAACAGAAGAAGAGAGCGCCCAATGGGGAACTTTGTTTACAAACCAAGTTCTTTTGTTTCACGAAGAGGAGGGAAAATCGCTGGGAAGCCGCCGTGCACCCCACAAATGCGCGCCACACTGCTACGATCTGATTGGTCGACATCTGCCTGGCGCGGAACTCAAACTTGTTGCTTTGCACGTTGGTCTGCAGTTTGCTGCGATCTTTTGTACGAATAGTTAGTCGACTGGAAGCATGGCTTCTTTCATTGGAAAACATATGATTTTTCCTTCGAATTGCGTTCCTAAATCCATGGCGGATCTCAGGAAATACGAGGGATTTTTCCCAAACATGAGTGGAGCAACTTATGATCCCATTTCCCTTCTAAACGAGGAAAAGAATCTTAGACGTGCACAGAGTGGTGGCTTTTCCTCGGACTCAACTCGTTCATCCCGCGATGATGACATCTTTTCGAACACTGCATTTGCATCTTCGAGGTACGCTATAAATCTTCATGACAGGGAGTTTTTCCGAGTAGGCCTGACAGAATTTTTCATGTTTTCGATAAGTCCAATCATGTGTGTATCTTCACCGAAGTACCAATTTGTCTTTTGGTGCTCAGGGAATTTCATGTAAATTGTTTCTATCGTGTTTGTTTCTTCGTGAAGAATAGATCCTCAGAGAATTTTTGCTGCCGTATTTTCTACAGGGTAAAAAATGCTGTGTAGAAATTAGTAAAAGAATCAAACCAGGTGGAAATAGCTTTATTTTTTCCAAAGTGAGACCTTTTCATTTACAAAGAGGAAGGCCAACTTGGAATCATTGTGACTATTTGCATTTCAAAGGATGAAGCTGCGAAACGAAGTATTCCTTTCTTCTCTTGACAATGAGTTGTAATTGCTCGACATCCAAGAATTTTGATCAGATGGGCAAGGTGAAAATAGTTTGTTTTAGGGTTGTTTGTTCAGTTTTCCGAAGAAAAATTCCGGAAAACCGTGAACACGATATGTTTATTTTGCTGTCAATTTTGTAAACGTCTGTTGTCAATCAGTTTGATTGCAATCTTTTAATTTATCCTAAACAAAAAAAAGTCTCTTCCACTTGTTTTGAAAAATCTTATAATATCGTATCAATTTCATAGTTGACACAAATGTACTTGTATTGTACTTTTAGCAGCGGCGATGACAGCACTGGATCAAGTCAAACGTCTCATGACGTATTCAACGAGAGCGGCAAAACAGTGTTACTGAAGACCCCGCAAAAGACTTTGGCTAAGCGAGTGAGCCCAAGGAAACCTCTCAAACCAGTTAAAAGTGTGAATCCTTGTGATCCAGGCTTTAAAGGTGTCACCCTCCACATGAAAACAACGCTGAAGAAAGGGAAGAACGGTTTGAAAACTCGATCTGAAGCGCAGCTGGTGATAGATTGTTGCTTTACTTCTAAGAAGAGACGTCGCTGCTCAAATCTGGAGCTCGATATGCGCGAGTGTAAGACATCGAGAAGAAGGCTCAATTCACCAGGGGTTAATCCTTCGATTTTCAAGCTTCAAAGCTCTCCCGAGTCAATGTTTAGCGACAGAAGCCCGTCCGATGTGGACTTGGGAACAGCGCCGATCCAAGTGGAAAAGGAATGCGCATCCTGCGGGACTTTCAAAACTCCTTTGTGGCGTGATGCGGAAGATGGCACTCACTTGTGCAATGCTTGTGGAATTAGGTACAAGAAGTACAGGATCCGTTGCGTTCGATGCTGGTATATCCCCAAGAAGGAGGAGAAAGCATTACCGTGTTGCACTAGTTGCGGTCATACCTACAAAATCACCTTGGGTCGCAAGGCTAACCCATTTAGCAGCAGCGAGTAACAAGTTTACTCCTCTGGAGTGGAAGTGTTTGGTTTTACTCAAATTACTGCGATGATTTTTGAGTGTTTTACAGAACAGTCTATTTAGATGGAACGTTGAATTGGCTTATGTTAACCGTCTTATTGTAGTATATACTAACCGTGAGTGGGATACTGTGATACATGGACACGCTTGCGTTTAAAAACCCTCAAGTAGTTACAAGACGGATATGGACCATGATGATTAACATATCAAGGAACGAATACTATTTTACTGCATGCTGTTCAGTATTCAGAAAATTGTAGACATCATTTGTAATGTTGACCAATATTCTGTCGCTAAAATTAATGATAATAATTCTGTGTTACGGGTGTCAACTTTGTACTTTACTCATATTACTGGACTACTTGTTATCAAGCGAGGTAATTTGTTTTACAGTTTTGTAGTTTTTACAAGGTGTCTACAATTTTATTCACTTCGTAATCATGATATTTCATAACTGGGTTGATTTTTCAGTTTTTGTCATTGTTAAGGTCAGTAGTAGTTTAAGGTTTTAGGAGAGAGATTTGAAGTTTTCAAGGGAAGGTATATATCTAGGATGGTCACGTAGGAACACGTTCATACGTGATTCGTGGAAGGAAACTAAATGACATCACAGTCTTTAGCTGAAAAAAAACGACAACAAAAACAAACGGTTGGTTCGTCACAGTCCTGGATCATAACTCCCAATTTTTAAACATTCACTCTTTAGTGTTATTTTCAAATGATATAGTTAAATAATGGTACCCCTGACAGTCTTTAATTTAAGGTTATTTATTTAATTTGTGTTGTAAAAATATTTTGTTGTCAATTAACATTGGTATTTATTTACAGCACTTTAAATCTTCTACAATCTTTGGGACTGATGGTTTTTTTATTTAGATTTTTGCAGGATGCAGGCTTTGGTTGTTGTATATCACTGCACAATGTGTATAGAAGTATATTGGTATACCTGTATTTCTGTGGAGTTGTGTGGAGCACTAAAACACTTTCCTTCTACATAGCTCTTGGAAGTGTATAGCACTTAAGAAATTTGTTGTTTAATTACAAGATGTATCCATTAAAAAAACTACAACGGCTTTGCAAGATGCATCCATCTGAAAGTATGGAGTAACATTTTCATTACACTTTTTTTTATATATAAGAACCTTTTTTATAAGAACGTGTAGGCTGAGATAAAACCAAAATTTTAAGAACATACCTAGGCTGAGAGTCAATTGAGAACGTCTCTATTTTGCCCTTTTTTGTAAAAATTTTAAAATGAAAGTTTAAGAAACATCAAACTGCGGTCTCACAGGACGATTAATTACATGCTTAGAGGCCTTTTTGGACATTAGTGATGCGGTTTTGATTTCTTATTGCACGATACACTAAAGAACAACCCAGTTAGTAGTCGTACTTAGTCTCGTTACGTCCGAATTGATTTAATGAAAGACAATACATCACAACTTTAAGAACATGCTAAGAACGTTTTTAGAGTCGAATCGCAAAAAAGTGAGAACGTTCAGCCTCAGCCCCAAACTTAGACGTTCTTATATAAAAAAAGTATTCCTCTTTCAACATTGTACAATTCTTGTGAGTGTTCATTGTACCTTGACGTAGATCCATACTCAGTCAACCGTTTCATTCGACTGACGGGCGAGCTTCAGCTGTTATTTGTGACTTCACCCCTTTCCGTGGTCATCGTGTTAACTCGTTTAAATGCTGCGGCGTTCATTTAAAATTTTTCAGCGTTTCGATAAAAATCTTATCTCTCACTAGCCTGCCAACTGAGGCGTAATTTTTTTTGCGTTTTTCAGTAGAACGGAAGCAAGCGCGAAACGAGCGCAAAGTGCGAGTCACGCTGTCCACTGTCTGAGTAACATCTTAAAATAACTTTTGGTGATGTTTGTCACTTTCTCATTCATGTGCTCAGTACAGTTGATAGAATCCTGTCAAGCATGTCGTTTCCCCGTGTGATATAAACTCAAGTTTGTTTGTGAATGAAATCATTTACCTTCTTTTCCATCTATTTTCATCGTTTTGCAACATTTTAGGTTCTCGGGTACATTTTACGGACAGAAGACCTGTTGCATGGAAAACATTGTTCAGTGAAATCGGAGAGCTGATGTTGGGTTTCCAAGAAAAATAATTTTCCACTTTTACCAATTCACGTTTATTGCATGCGAATTTCTAAAACTTTAAATAAGTGGGTGGATGGCAGGGACTCAATTTTGAAATCGTTGATTGAGTTGGTCAGGGGAACTTAACATTTGTTAAGGAAAGGTCAGGGGATTTAAAAAACCTAAGTTTGTTGCAACCGTAAAAGTGAAAACATGTGCGGAAGGAGCAAGAGTGTGCAATAATCAGCCATCGATCAATGCATAAAGAATCCTTAGGGTAGTCTCATGCCACGTTTTTGCATTCACCAGGGTTCCTTTTTGCGAGTTCTAAGCCGGATAATTCGAATTTTGTTGAGGTATTCAAATGTATTTAATAATCAGAATACACGAAGTTCTCTGGAAGCACAATTTTATTCTTCTTTGTTTCAAATTTGACCGAGGGAATTGCTCCAGTGTGAAATAAATACATGTATATTTATATACAGTACAAACATAAATTTAGATTTGCCAAGCGAGTTACAAGTAATAAAAAGGTGCAATCCTTCGCCAACTAAACCGTTGAAACTTTCCTGATCTGACCATCGCTTCCGTTGTATAAATTCAATTCCTTTTACGAAATTTTCCACGTCATGCCGGATCAACCAGCCAGCAATAAGAATGAAGTATTCATTGTATGGCCAGTGATTGAAGCATGGTGTTCGTAATGGGCCAATTTCGAGGGCTTGTGTAGTTCCCTGGCCGTGATGAGTCTGCGGAGTCCGGTAACGCGGCAAGTTCGCGTCTATCTGGGTCCATGTCCATAGGATGAGAGAAGACTGGTTTCCTTGTGCCAATCACTGAAAGAAGTTGTAGTTCCATTGGTCCAAGGCGCGGAGAGTCCTGAATTTGAATTGGACAGAAAGTAAATTATTTTCAATCTGTGTGTTTCTTCTCCATGCATATTACATTTTGCTTTATATTTACCTCTTCAGTGTTTGGTAACACTACTTAACTAATATATAGAATATATAATTGACAGAAAAAGAAGTCATCATGAACTAGCCCCTTTCATATTCGAACTTTTAAGGGGTTTAAAATTGCATTAAATGTATCATGTTACTTGGATAATTACGTCAAAACATTGTGACAGAAATAACTCCTTTCACAAGCACTTACCTGAAAATCATCCTCACCAGGGAGGAAATAGTTATCTAGCAGATCATCCGGTTTTTCATTTTGTTCTCCAAGGACGCCATGCGAAGCAATCACCTCTTCTCCATCATCTTCAACATCGTCTTCATCTGAACTGTCCTCATCCTCTATACAACTCAGATAAAACTGCCTGAAAAGTAATGTTCCCCAAGTTACAAACATGATGGTTATGCCTATTAAAAAAGAGCCTACCACCACAGCATGCAAGAGGAAAGAAAATGATTCAAACGGCAGAGTAAAATAAATAAATAAATATGTAAATAAATGAACAAAAACAAGATGAAACAAAATTTTAATAATCAAATGAAAAAAGACTTAATGGCCCTCGAAGAAACAAAATTTGTCTTCCTTTGCAATCAGTCTCAAAGTTGTCCACTATCGTTAGCCATCTTTCTTTCTTTCTTGATATTATATCTCAGTCCTATTTGACCACTGCTCTGCTACAAACCAGATTCAAGCACACTCTACTAGACTGAGTTAGACTGATCAGTCAACTCTGAACGTGAAGGAAACTTGGGCCAAATGACATTCATCTACATTAGGGGGCTACAAGCACAAAAGAAAAAAGACTGACCGAGTGAATTTGAGGTCTTCAACCTTACAGTCAAACATCTCACTCATGATTTCCAAGTTTCTTTTTTCCAAGTCCTCTACTTTTGCTGACAGGTCAGCATGGCCTTCACGATGAATAGCAACCTAATAAAATTGTTTTTAATTAGAGGTTCAATTTTTTTACACACACCAAAGTGAGCATAGTTAATCCAGTAACAAGTCAGCACCCCAGACAAATAATATAGCAGCAATGTCTATCATGTTTACTAGGTGGCTGTATGCCTTAAAGTCTGCAGTTCAAATCCTGTTGTATTGGATAAACCTCCTTCTGCCTTTTGGAGAGCAAATCATCTTACAATAGTTGATATCATTGAGGTCTTTGAGGAGACTTCCTTCCAATTATCTAATACTTCTTAAAAGTGTAGTGTTGCATGAGGACATAAATAAAATCTGTGAGAACTCAGACTCAATGTTCATGATACTAAACCTCTTTCTTGAGCCATCTGTGGTCCAAAATTTCCCCACAGCTATCCTTGTCCAAGTTATTTGTTGCTTTCTAAAAAAAAGGTATACTTGCTGTTTTAAAGGAAAGTCTCACTTGACCCTCGACCTTTGGTGACTAGCATCTGCTTTCTCCTCTCAACATAAGCCCAGTGACTCAAACATTAAGATCATGAGAATAAAGGATATGATCACCAATCAAACAAGCTCTTGATTGTTCAACAAATTCTCCTTGTCAACTTCTTAGGATATGCTTGGAGAACAGTATATAGAATAAGCATCCTGATATTAGGGGTTAACGAAAAAGAATGGGGAAATACTATGGGCAAATAAGTTTGAATATAAAACAGCATAAAATATAAAATCAAATAATTATTTTATCAGTGACTTATACCTCATTTGCTATATCCTTCTGTTTGGAGATTGTTGATTCAGTGTAAGTTTCAATTTCATCTTTGGCTATCTTTAAGCTTCTTTCTAGATGAGCTGTCACAATTTAGAAAACAAATGACATTGTAGTTTTTCAAATATCAATTGAAATGTAAATAGTTGGCTATTTACAAAGTGCAGCTGAGGAGTAGAAGTTAAAGTGACCAAAAGCAAATTCAGTGAATAGCAGGGTGGAGGACTTGGACCCAGGAACACCAGATTACAAGTCCAGTGCCTTGACCACTTGGCCACACTGCCTCCTCAAACTTGCATTTTTAATACAAATACAAATTTGAGTCCTTTACCTGCAATGTCATCCTGGGAATCCTGCATTTCTCTCAGATCTTGTTTCAGTAGTACTATTTGTTTTGCATGTTCCTCTGCACCTATATCCTGTGTAACACAACAATACAAGAGACTAAGCAAACTCAGCTGAATATTTTTTTGTTGACGAGCAATATTTGAATTAACAAATTCAAAATTAGCTTGTTCCAGGCATTCAGTCAGTAGACCTTTTGTTCTTCCTCCACTACCCCTAAACTTAACCTCTACACCAGGCTATAAGCATTTATTATTTAACTCAAATAAGATAAAACTTAAAGAAATCATTATTTCAATAGTAGATTGTCAACTAGTTACAACAAAATTTTAATGACAAAAAATCCATCAGTGAAAGGATAATATTTGCCTTTTTAGTACAATAATACCCATAACAATAATAATATAATATATAGCTTGAAATGTGTAAGTTTTCAGCTTAACCATTACTGTATGCGTTACATGTTGACAGATATTGAAACCTTGCAAATTTCTTGACATGACAGTTACCACACTTTACAAAATAAAATATTTAAACAATTGTTATAGGTTTCTAATACAAATTGAAATGGACCTGACACATAACTTTTAAATATCATATTAAACCTTTGATATACATAATGTAGTGCATACCCTGTATTCCTGGAGCCTTCTTATGTCCCTCCGTACTTCTTCTATTTCAGCTTCTTTCTTTTGAATGTGATCATTTTGTGCTAATGAATTAAGAATAAACCATACACAGATTCAAGTTTGTAAGATACATATTTAAACAAACATTTGCAATCTAACGTACAAACTTAAGATTTATGACAAGCATATTTCAGTGAGCATTGCAATAAAGGTGTAGTTTGTCATCCTAGTGAAGCATAATTATGATACATCTTTGATATACTGAGATAATACACATGTGAATCACTTAAACAGACTAAATAAGCCAAAATGCTAAAAACTAATGAGTCACACACTATTTTATAAAGTTTCATAACCATTAATAGATCATTCTGCATATCAAGCAAAACACAATAATATTATACCCTGAACTTCTGCTTCTTCAGCCTTCATCAAGTCAAATTTTTGCAGTAAAGCAGCCTCAACTTGTTCATGTCCAACCTCTGCTGCTTTCTCCACTTCCTTATCTTTTTCTTTCACTTGTTTTAAAAGAGTTTTAATATGCAGTAGTTGCTCCTCCTTGAGACGTTGGTTCTTAAATAAACAAACTCATGTTAATTTACATTTACATATACTTAGCTGCAATAAGCAATTTTTAACAGACTTATCTAATAACCATTGGAAATGTTATGAACAAAAATGTGAAATGCAGAATTGATGTGCCACCAATATGTGAAGAGTAAACTACCCACAGGCAAATTTCTATTGCCGAGTTTTTCATACCCCAGATGAAAAGTACTTACTTCTGATGGGTGAGAGACACAATGACATTATGGTCAGTGGAATGGATTCTGGTTCTAGAGGTCTGTATTCGAGATCTAATGTTACCGAGCCTGTTGTGCCTCTCTCCACTAAGGACTGAGGGGTTAAATGGATTGGGTAAAGGAGAGGAACTGTCAAAGAAGCTTGATGAAATGCTGGGGGAGGGGACCTGCATTAGACTAGAATCCCATCCAGGGGGGAGTATCAAAACTCCCACTTGCTTCATGCTATAGTGAGATAAGCTCAGAATGGACGGGCTCAAGTTCAGACTTTAACTTCTTCCCTTTTATTTGACTATACTCTCACAGCAAGTGTGAGGGTAAAGCCTCAGGCCCAGGAACACAACACAATGATCCACCCTAGTCTGGAACCCTGACCTCTTTACAGAGAGTCCACCAACCAAGTCACAGTGCCACTGTGTCTCTCTAGAATACAACAGAAAACTCCATCCCTTACCCTGTCTTTTAGTCTTTCATTCTTTTCCTTGAGGGATTGTAAATCATACATAAGATCTTCAAAATTCCTCTGTTTAACTTCTATCCTGAAATTTGATCAAAAATGAACAAATAGCAAAGTTTCATTGCTTTGACAGACTGTGCAAATAGTCAGCATGTTACAAAACATACAAATAACAATGTTGACCCTATTAAAGCATCCATATATATCTACCAGCAGAGTTGAGTTGGTTCGACAGATTAGTTAAATGTTTAGCATTTCATAAACATAGGCATGCTATGCATGCAAGAGCTATATTTTTTAATTGAATGAATTGAGATGGGACACTAAATAATTGATGTTTGCATTTTTGTGAAGGAAAAAGAGCATTAACTTCATAAGATTCCGACGAAAATATCATTCAATGGAGAGAAAAACAAAAAACCTTCCACTTAATCTGAAATAAAGTTAGACACTAGTGTTTCATGGTCTATTGTCCCTGGTGTCCAAATAATTTTAAGCAAAACTAAACTGTATTGGTGCAACACTTACTGTAATCTCCTTCACAGCTGTTGTTTAGTCTGGTCAATGCAAAGCACTCTCTTCCCTGTCGCATGACAAGACCAAACAACAGCTGTGAACAGGATTATGCTAGCCTGGGAGCAGGTCTTCATTATTTGCATTTGGTCACAAGTGTTTCTTTCTCAGGGGGAAAGTATAAGGCCTTGCGCAACACAAGCTAGTAAGAGGTCTGCAAGGGTTCTGGGCCAAATAATTAATGTTGTTCCTTTGTCAAAAGAAAAATTCAAAAACACTGAAAAGAAAAGTTGACCCATTTAACTACCATTGCTGAATGTTAGCTGCAGCAATTATGTTTTGTATTGAAAATAAATTAAAGATTTAACGGCTTTATGGCTCGTTGCTTAGCAGTACTTAGTAGTCTATTTGTTCAAAGGATAAATCGATTTATTTCTGATGAAGTGTTTTGGGAATACCATCAATGAAAATGCACAATCAACATTCGACAAGAAATACCAGTAAAGTAAAAAGCAATCTCTTCCATAAATAAAAAAAACTCACTGAAAAGTAACGATAGCTTCCTCGACTGTCAACTTTGGTTCCTTTGACGCACCGCTCTTCTTGCCCTTCTTTTTCTTCCCAGATTTCTTTTTGCCGGATTTCTTCTTAGGAGGCATGCTTAAGAGTTCAGTATCAATAGAGTTACTGAAAAGCGCTTATTCATGCGACAAAATTAGCATTTCTATTTCACCTATGTCAATCGCCTTCAGTTACCGGGCCAGCAAAATAACAACATTGATCTGGAAGCCGTTGATTGCAAGGAGACTGGCTCTAATTGATCCGAAAAGGCCACTGGGAAGAGATAGTTGTGCGGACATCTTGGGCTGTGATTGAGAGGAGGTAATGGCAACCACCAGTGAAACTGGAGATAGACTTGATACTCGAAGGCTTGAGGCAAAGAAACAAACCTTAGATGATGCTTACGCAGCTCCAGCGAATTTCCTAGAGATCGATGTTGTCAATCCTGAGACGCATGGAGTCGGTAAAAAACGGTACACCGACTATGAAGTGCGGATGAGGGTTAGTACAAATATTATCCTTATATAGTCTTAATGAAACGCAATCTAACAGAATTTATTGGGTTTCTAATTTGTAAAGATAAGTGTTAAGCTAACTTAAGTCGTATTGATGCATTCATACGAGTTGAGGACGTGTTTATTTTTCTTCACATGCAATCTACTAAAGAGTTGATCCTATTTAAACAGAAGCGAACTGTATAACTGTGATTGATTCGAATTGGCGACGTTTGACAGTTACTACTGAATTTTTGGAAGAAACACAGATTGCAGGATCACTGAATATGACAATGATTTCTCAGCTCTGGAAATTTGTAACCTAAATTATGACAAATTATCACATGATTTTAGTGTCGAAGCATATAATTGTTCTCGTTTGAGATCGAATGATGTTATGGCATTTTCCAGAAGTTTGGAACATTATGCGGCGCAGAAGCAAGAGATGTCCGATTCACAAGGCAAAAATTGTCTTTCAGGCTGGAAAATGCAATGCTATTTTAGCTTTGAAAATCTCCTCATGAGTTTGTATCACCAATATCCCTTCCTTCAGTGATCAAAGTTCTGAGCATCTCAACAGGAACTGACCATGACAGCCTGTATGGATCACCTTACAAACCTCTGATCACTGGAGCAATATTGTAGACTGTACCTGTTTGTGAAAGCTAATTTAATTGCTATTCCATATCAGACTTAAACTCAGCTTCAGGCTAGTAATTTATGAAACTGAAAGAATGTCACTTTTATTTTGAAACACTTATTTAAAACCCTAACCCATGATATATTATACAGGTGGGGTATTATACTCTTTCGGTAACTAAGAATTTATTTATCCATTCCTAAGATAATTCCTTGTAAGCCAAGATCAGTAGTCTGTTGTTTAAGATACAAGGAAAGATTTACATAAATATTTTGTTTTCTATAACAGACAAATCTCCCAGTTTTTAAAGTCAAAGAGTCATCTGTAAGGAGACGGTACAGTGACTTCAAATGGCTAAGAGGAGAGTTAGAACGTGACAGCAAGGTATTAATGAACTTTGTTAAACTTTGGGATCAAAATTAGTGAAACCAAAGGCAGGGCTCATGTACATTTAATCTCAATGGCCAATCAGAACAAAAGGTCAATATCAAAGAACCCAGTTATAATTTGGATGGTGTAAGTTTTCTTGACCAACAATAGAGCAAAGTTAAGCAAAAGGAGGGCATAGACATTATATATTTTGTATGTTAAATGCTTACCAGAGATCATGTTAAATCCCTAGGAGCACTGATGCTTTCTTTCCATGGAAATTGAGAGTCCATCATATCATTTTTACCAGATATATGAAGACCTTGCTGCTGAAAATTAACAGCATGAAATAACTATTTAGGAAATTTCTATTATGGCCAAAACATGCCCTTTTAAAAGGGTGTTTTTGCTTTTGCCATTTTTTTGCAACCAAAAAGTGTCATTCAGTTGTGGTACAATTACAGGCATCATTATCATTAGGAATACAGACCCTTGTACCCTATGCCTCAAAACACCAGAAATAAAGATTCAGATAGTTTTGAGTAGAATGATGTGAGCTCCATTTACTTGAAGCTCATATTGCACACCATAGGAACCATGTGGTATATCTTATCTTTTGATCAATTTTATATCTTTAGTTGCTATTTTGACCAAGGGATTAGTGTAATGCCCTCCATTTTTTTTTAACTTTTGTCTTTCCAGATAGTGGTACCTCCTCTTCCAGGTGATGCATTTAAGAAGCAATTACCATTCAGAGGAGATGATGGTATGAGGCAGCTCTTTTCTCTCATATGCTTCCTGCTTCCTGTGTTTCTATGTACAATACATGAAATTATACACTGTTCATTTTCAGTCAACTTAAAACCCAAGTTACTTTGATAGTTCACTGAAACCAAAATTGAAATTGATTTCTCTTGGATTTCCAGTGTATACTTACTACAATTTTGCTGTTGGTACATTCAACCCTTGATTGTGCAAATTTAGGAGGGAAGTCCCCTCAATTTTATTTCAACCATTTTGATTATTTATAATTATCTAATGTTCGTCAGTAGATTGTGAGTAAAAGTGAACAGTTCTGCAGTGTATAAGCCTGTTAGAGGTTATTTTGCAGCAGCCATGTATTTCTTGTTTTGTTTTGTTTTTTGCTGTTTAAATGCAGTTAAATGCAATTTAGTGTAGTTAACAACAAAGAGCATCAGTGTTCTCTAGTAGTCAGCAGTTTTCTGCAGATGCGCATGCATCAGAAATCTACATGCTCTTTGTTTGAGGCGTTTTTGCATGTGCTTTAAGAGTGAAATTGCAGTGTTGTGAGGAGGTCATTGTCCAGGCAGTTTTCCCCAACCATTCCCTCTCTCTTTCCACAGTTTATTCAGTGTGACAGGTGCCTGTTTCCCTTTCCTATGTAGGAGCTCATGGCTGGGTTGCCAGGATTTACCAGCCATGGGAGAAGTCTCTATCTAAAAGCTAGGTGCCAATAGTGGAAGCTCCTGGATGTTTCAGGCACCCAACCTCCACTTAGCAATGCAGTTGTTAACTCCTTCAAAATGTAAAGATAGTTATTTGAGGAAATAATCTTATTAGGAAGAAAAGGCAGCATGGATATGTTGCCAATTTTGGTCAACCACTTCCTTATTTGGGTGTTTGATAAGCACTATTCACCTTCCTTTCAGGAATTTTTGAAGATGATTTTATTGAAGAAAGAAGGCAAGGTTTAGAGGCATTTGTTAACAGGTACTGAACATGTTCTTAGCAAAGCCTGGTAATTTTCTATTATGATGCCATGGCAAGTAAGAAATAATTTGTAGAGAGTAAAATAAATTTGCATGGAAAAGAACCAATTTGAGACATGTGTTTGGCACTTGTGTAGAAAGCTGTAATGTATGTTTAATGAAGAGTATCTAGTACAGATTTAAACACAGATAAACACATGCATAAAATGGTATCCAGTTCAAGTCATTGATGGTTCAACTCGCCAACACCAACACGCCAACGTATAAAATCGAGTATAAAATTGAATAGAGATCTTGTCTAGAAAGCTAAGTTTTTCCTTTTAAAAATCTGACCGATTGACATGATGAATCTTTACACTGTGGTTGTCACACAATAACTTGTTTGCGTCTAAAGCTTTTTTGGTCATTGGCGATGTTCACCTTGCTTTATTCACCTTGCTTTATTCACCTTGCTTTATTCACCTTGAGATCCTTATGTACTTTGTTGGAAATAAAAAGAATTGTTTTTACTAAAGATCTTGTCTAGAAAGCCAAGTTTTCTTTTAAAAATCTGACCAATTGACATGATGAGTCTTTACAGTGTTATTGTCACACATTAACTTGTTCACGTCTGAAGCTTTTATAGTCATTGGTGATGTTTACCTTGCTTTATTCACCATGAGATCCTTATAAACTTTGTTGAAGAAAAAAAAGAGTTTTTTTTACTAAAGATCTTTTACTTTTCTATATGTTTAACTTCTAATAAGTTCTACTGGATTGAAGACCAACTTGCAAACATCTTTACCTGATTTTATATGTTGGTGAGTTGGCATTGGCGAGTTGAACTGTCGGTGACTTGACCATAATTCCATAAAATATAAAGGGCTCCGTCATTTTCTTCTAAGAAAATTTGCCTCTTCTTCCTGTGTGTCCGATTATTCATTCTCTGACTCCCAAGATTGACAAGCATCTCATTTCTCCAAACAATATCACCCAAATCACACATTAAGGTCACAAAAACAAAGGAAATGATCAACTTAAGATTGTGGCTCTTGATTGTTAAACAAATCTCCTTGTCAGCACCACAAGGAATGTGTAGAGAACATTGTGGAGAATATGTGTACTGATCTTAGGGTGTAAAGGGTTTTGCCTCTGTGCAAAGCTCCAATTATGATTAGCAGCCATATTGCATAATTTAAAGGAGTGTGATAAGGAAAACAGTTTGTCTTGAAACTTTGCACAAAGTGCCCTTTCCTGGGTTTGTTTTTGGAGACTAGAATTTTAGTCTTTGTGACCATTTAATATGATCCTAGGTTCTGGGTGAAGATTAAAACTAATTCAAGCAAGATAGTATATTTTAAGTTTTTTCAGCAGCTAGTTTTATTGTGTCCTGTTGTTGAAGCTGTAAAAGATGTGCCAGGTTCATCTGATTATCGTTGTCTCAATAATGTTCTGTCTTGTTTGATTTCCAGGGTGTCTGGACATCCTCTGGCCCAGAATGAACGTTGTTTGCACATGTTCCTTACAGAACCAATTATAGATAAGAATTATGTCCCAGGAAAAGTGAGAACCACATAAAACCCAATGGAGCATTATGAGCAATTATTCCTTGAGGTTCAATGATCAAACATCAATGAGAGATTCTTTAATCCTTGTAGCCATCACAATGTTTGGCTGCTCCATTAACTTCTTTTGAATCTTGCAGTACAAAGTTAGTTTAAGGTTTAAGAAATTACAAGAATGTGATCATTAGTGATTTATGATAAAATCATTTATTAGATGTCAGTGCCAAAAAGATTTTTCTTGATGGCTTAAGAACTAAAGGTTTGCTACATATTTTTAGAACAGTTCAGGATTAAATAATATATACTTAACTGTAGCTAATTCAGGCATTTCGAGGCATAAATGAAAAGTAAGTGCACTGATAGATAGCAGCAAGAAACAAGGCTTAGTGGCTTAACGAAGATTACACAATATTCCATTTTTGATATGTCCAAAGCCTCTGTTGTTAGACTTTGATATAAAATTGGTTCAAGAATGATTTTGCACTTGGCTTCACCTTGAAAGTGATGGTTTTCAGAACTCAGAAATGGCCTTTTTTTAAATAAAAACTCCACAGTTGATCTTAACGCTTTAACTCGTAGAAGTGATTCACATGGAACTTCTTCATACAATGTCCATACACTATCCAGCAAACAGGTAATGAGAATACTCAAATGTATCAGGTAGTTGTTATCTTGATCTAAGACCAAATTCTTGTAATTATCTTACAAGGAAATGTGTAGAACCTAAAGGGGAGAACGAACAATCATTTCTTGGTAGTGAAAGGGTTTTAATAGTAATATTGAGGTGGTATTAGAAGATCAGGCATTATCCAGACTTGTCATCATGCTTAAGCATGCTTATCAGGATGACATGCCAATGCTTGACACCCAGTACCAATAAGCCAAATGGTGCCTAACAAGAAGTCATCATCATTACCATAATATTACAACTATATTTTCTTTGAAGAAATATTATTAATCCACTAATGTGAGGGTGTGTGCTCGGAACATCTTGACTCATCTGTTACTGCAAGAGCTTTACAATACTTCTGTCACTGTAATAATCAGACTTAAATGCAAGTGCTGTGCTATGCTTTAAGGTGATTAATATGTAGCAATCTACAATATTTCATAACTGAAATGTATTGGTGCATTTTTTAAAATTATAGGAAGTACTGAGTGGTGCTATACCGCTATGTAGGATGGTGAAGGTTATTTCTATCTTCCATTTTTATTAAATCAATTTTCTCACATGGCTATTTACAGCTGGTGATATTACTGATGAAAAGAATATTTTATTGTTTATTAAATATGTTACCAGTATTCCAGGTACTCTCTCTTCTAGGTAGGTTTTGTAGGGTTGTTGATGGAGTTCCATGACTCAAAACTGAGTGCAGGCGCACATACAGAAAATTTTATGTGGTATCTGTTCAAATATATTTTGACTCACAAATTTTGCAAGT